GGACAAGCTTAAGGGACCATGGGATGGAGGAGAGGTGGTTGAAATGGTGCTTTAAGTATAACGGCCTCAGGAGCAAGGCTGCGTGAACACTGGGAAATAAGACTCGGTGATCAATGCTTTTTCTTCTCACCTCTCAGCTCAACAGATATTGAAGAGGCTCCCCTTTCCTGCTGACTGAACAACTGTCACCCAATCTGTAGGACAGGTGATAATGGAGAGGAAAAAAAGCCTCTGAGACTGAAAAAAAGAATTAGAAAAAGCACATTTTTCACACTACCATCCATAAGTGGTGGAGAAGCTGGGTCACTGCAGCCAATCAATAACCTGCATTGCCATTTTCCTATACTAGGTGTGGCTTGGAGGGTTTTCTCAAAGTTTGTGCTCTTGTGCACATCAAGTCTAATCACTGAGCGCGCTGCGTGCTTCTCTCCCTGTTGTGTGCTCACCATTTGAGCGATCTGGCTTCACCAGCAAACAGATGACTCACACAGTTTGAGGTTGAACTGTGTCACGAGCGTCACCGCTTTCACTCCTGTGCTCTAATGCGTTTCGTATGTTGCTGATGCAGTGGGTCTGCTTATCCCCGAGATCGCACAGATAAGGCCGTAGCTCTCGTCCCACAGTCGGCCACCTGCTCAGATAAGGGCCAAGCACGAAGCAAGACGGGTAGGAACCTAACACTGCTGATAGCATCGCCGCGGTAAATCTCTGGGCTCGGAAATGCGTGGACGACACTGGAAAACAGCGTCGTAAAGAACATGAGATATCCACGATGCAAGTCCCATTTCAGTAATTAAAATGGACCGGGATGCAGAGGAGACGCTTGCAATACAGCGCATAGTGCTTTATTTCTCTCTTTCTATGCTCTACCTTGACAGAACTCATTCTCACACCGGGGAGGGGGGGGGGGGGGGGCTGTGCACAAAAAATGTGCACATGCATAAGCTCCCAACCTGCATCCACCATCTGGCCATCCCATGGCTCAGATGTCTCTGGGGTAAGGTGAACTCTGAGGGGTGCTCTCTGTGGATGTCACGTGTACGTGGGCTTTGAGGGTAGACAGTGAGAAAGGAAGCAGAGACGCAGAGAATGAGGAGGAGGAAGTGAAACACATTTTGAAAATGTGGGAAACCCTTCACAGAATGTTCCTCGCGCTGCGTGCGCTGGAAGTGTTATAGTTTCACAGGAAAAGAAGCACTTTTGCAGGACTGCAGGTACACAAGCTGCACGTAGGGGGTTTGCACTGGGGGTCGTCATAGCTGAGTAAGCTGAGTAAGCTATGTAAGCGAACCTTAACAACAAGTCGTCTTTTCACTGTGAGCAAAATAAAGCCTCTATTATGGGATGAGGCCATGTCTGCTGCCCCTGCCAGCTATAATGTGTTTTAGAGCTATACTCACAACATGGGGACCCAAACGTACAATACACACATGGCTGTAAAAAACAAGGGAGAAATTGAATTCTACTTCAGGTGGTCCCAGGTCAGCAGTAGCGCCTGCGGCTAAAATACACACGTGAGCCCCTCACACAAATAATGCTTTATGTCTTTTTACACTTACCACATCAACCCACGAGCCTCGGTTCAGCTTTAATTCCTTTGTTATTTTTGTCTAATATTATGAAATGAGAGAGCAGAGGAAAAGAGCAATCTTGCATTAAAATCCATTAGAGACTCAACAGGATTCTTTTTGCAGGCTGGCTCCTCTGCACAGCTGGTGAGCGCGCACAACTTACACACTGAACAGTAGAACATTTTTAACTCTGCTGTCACAAAGTATAAGCTCGATTTTCAATGCAAGGTTTAAAGGGTGGGAGACGACAGACAAAAGCTTGCTGAATTATCTGCACAACATGGGGAGAAGCAACAGGTCATTCACAGTGTAGTACCCCTGGAGGTGAGTCAGTGTGTTGCTCAAGGACACTTCAACAGAGCGGTTACTTACACTGAGACAAGCGTACGAACGTAAGCTTCTATACTCTCTCCTCTGACCTCTAATCAACCACACCACCACTGCTTAACTTAGCTGACCTGCATAACCTACAACTATTGATTAAGCGATCATAATTGCTATTTATTCAGGAGTCTACAATACATTCTCTTCCATGGTTTGAGGATGATGCATCACCATAGTGCAGCGCAGCTACTTAGCACAGCATCCTGGGGGACTGGTTACAGCACATTACTAACATTCTCTTATCATACTCATACTGAATAAAACTGCTGTTTTACAATGCTGCGCCATGGCTCAGACATCTACTGTATGTCAGATCCCTGATATAGCAGGGTGCTCGTTTACTTTCTTAGCCCGGTTCATTTACAGTCATCTCATTTGTAAAACATGCATACCGTATCTTTTCTGAAACTCGCTGACCTCTCTCTTTCTGTCTCGCTCATCGTTTTATCTCATTCGGTCTCTGTCTATCTTCCGCTGCTGTTTCATCCTCCCTTCGCTCCACTCCAGCTTTCTCCACCACCACATTCTGGGCCGGTAAATGAGCGGGCTTATCTGGGCCTAATTGGTTTAAGGGCAAACATAAATAAGCAGTGGCTTTCTAAGCAAAGCAGTATTACTGCTGCTGTTGGCAAGTAGTGCATGCATACCAGAGAGACAGTGAGCTGAAGAAGCGATGAGAGAGATGAGAGCGGAACCGGGAGATGAGGGAAGAAAACTAGGAACAACAGAGTAGGGTAGACAAACGAGGAAAAGAGGAGAGCTGTGAAGAAAAGTGAAGATAATAAGGAGAAGTTTTTTTTTCACTGCTACCATACAGAGCCCTGTCTTCACACTTAACTGTTATAACCTTCTGCTCTGGTTCTGACCGCCTCTCTGCACCTTTTCAATAGCTCGCCAGTGAATGTGTTTCTGTAAGTTGATACTTTGCCTTGATGTGTGGTGTAGTATTTATGCTGCAGCTGGAGTTTAAATCCACCTTCGAGACAAATAGACTGGTACTTATATAGTACTTTTGTACTCAATTTGAATACTCAAAGCACTTTTTTTACAACAACCCTCATTCACCTGCTTTAAACTAACGCTCACACATTCACACTGCGGCAGATTCATCGTGTACACTGCAGGAATTGAACCACCGTTCGTCAACCACCTGATATGATGACGCAAGCCACTCGTCCTCCTGAGCCACAGCCTACCTAGCAACGGGTTGGCCTACCGCCCATGCAATCACACTTGGAGTACTTCTTCCTTATAATTTTCATCCCACAGTTCATCAGTACGTGGTCTTGAGGGTCTGAATCGATGATGTAATTGTTGTTTACTGCGACCATATGCGTAAGGTCAAATAAACCATTCAATTCATCACAATCAGCCTTCTATATGGTCTTGGCTCTAAAGTTACACGGATACCCCGACACCCGCCGCATACAAACAGATCCCTGACACTTTGTGATTATCAGCAGATTTGGACTAATCAGATTAAGGGTGACAGGATAGGCAGGGATAATGTGATCAATGGCCCCCGCTCAATCCCTCTCGCTTTCTCTCTCTCGCACACACAGACAAAAAAAATGAAAGAGCAACAGATTGGAGTTCAGATCAGCAAAGATTTTAACCTTCCCATGGGGCAACCTCCTTTCAATTAGCATCAAAAAACAAGGAAATCACTTTCATCCTTGTTACTGAGGTAACCCAGGGGCCATCTCCCTGCCCATCTGCTTCAGTCCCATCCCGTTTTTTTTTTTTCAAAGCAGAAATCCCACACCTCTTTCCAAGCAGGGAAATTTTTTTTCTCCCTCTCATCCTCCACTCATCTCTCCAAAATTACATTTCTTGCTGTCATTTCACACAGGGTAAACATTTGAACCTCAGAATATCCATTCTTGCAGAGGTAGCAATTTGGGCCTGGGCTTGGTATCCATATCAGTGTCGAAATCTGATGAGCACAAACAAGAAAGCCACCGCCAAATTATAGAGTACCGCCAGAGCTGGGGACAGCCCAGGAGGAGAGTTGTAAACGATTAAAGAGAAAACCTGTGTGTGAGAAAACACATTTTAACTGTGCTTTTAATTTACTTGTTTGTGGGAGTGGATACAGACAGCCAAGGGGAAGCCGGTGTGCTTTAGTGTATGTTATATTAGAAAGAGGCTGCTACTGTACAATAACACGAGAGAAGACACTATATATCCACCATGCCTCTGGGCTATCCGTGCAGCAGATAATGTCGCAGGCAACAGCCTAGTGTCCGGTCCCTGGGGTCCCACAGCGGAAATGAAAAACATGTTTAACTGAGGTGATATTGGCTACCACTCTACTGACACCAACGCTTGTCCAGATGACTGTGAGAGGGAACAGAAAGGAAACAGGAGCAGATGCGGACACAGATAGAGAAGGAGGAAAGGAGATGCACGAAGAGAAGAAAAAAATCAGGGCATAGTCGACAGAAAGGGAGAGGCTATTTTTTGTAGTTGCTTTCCAGTTGTAAAAAGACGTAATGCAATCCAGCATAAAGTGCATTTTGGGAAACTTCCCATCAACACAGTCTAATAGAGTTTGCCTCGCCAATTCAAAGTGCCACAGAACAATGCACGGTGGATTTTCGTTGTAGTAATTTAGTTTAATTTAAAAAAAAAAAGGAAAATAAATGCGAGAGCTTGTATCCCCCTGAGAAAACACTACTTAGGGGAAAAAAGGAAATATAAGAAAATAACATAAATAATAACGGAGGCTTCTGCTGGCATGCACTTATGTATAGAATAAAGATAAACAGTCACTGATAAACTATCACACGCTGCTGTGAACGCATTTTAATCATGCAACGTCTCGTTCTTCACAAGTACGAGTTACACGAGCGGAGCCGGAGGATGCTGCTCTGAAATCACTGGATGCCCACAGCGACCCACGTGCATGGCATCGCTCTGCATGCCACGGACGCAGCGCTGCCTCACACAGAACCTTGCATGCATCCCCCACATTACAAAGCGCCCCTCGGAGAGAGTCATGTCCACATATATGGCAAGTATTAGTCCCAATTTCTTATTTACCTTCCATCGCAGAGGATGTGATGACCAGCACGCATAAGAGCGCAAACAAATCCACTGTCATGGCAGAAGGGTAGTCTCCACAGCCTGTCCCCCAAATAACCAAGACGCACGGGGCGCGTCAAAAAGAATCCCAGTTGTCAGAGCGGTACTCCAGCAGATAGCCTCTGTTGTGTGTCACATTTCAAGCCGTAGTAAACAATGTGTGACAATCAGTGCGAGGAAGGAGCGAAGTGTAGCGAGCAAGGGGGTGCGAGGCAGGGAGGGGGTGTAGGTGGAGTAGGTGAGGGAGACCCGACATTGCCTGCTCACAGCCCCATTAGAGGGCCGGGGCCAATCACCGACTGGTAGCTGAAACTCACTAACCAATCGGTAACCCGGCGCTCCTCCCACCGCACATTGTCAAAACACAAAACTTTTCCTTGACCTATTTGAAGCGGTATCCGCTACAGTGAAGGGAAATAACGCCACCAGTCGGCTCAGAGCTGCACCTACAAGTCAAGCAAACCTAGAGTCGAGCTTACCCCGTAAAGCTTGACTCTGACTGTGAGAACCACTTGCTCTGCAACCCATCCACCTTTGGTTCAAAGTATCATTTCATCAGTCTCTTAAAAATCACCGCTGATTTCATTTTGAGTCACTTTGAGTGGACTTCCCAGATACGCGAATGAATAATAAAGCTGATTTTATAGCTTGGCAGCTTCACTTGTGCCCACAGGTTCAAGCCCTATTTGCACTGAAAATGCTCTTTAATAGCTTTGACAAATTCAGCTGTACCTCCTAATGATATAAAACAGGCTTTGCACATCAGCTCCCTCCCGTTGTCCCCGTCACCCCTTTTGTGTGCGTCTGTGAGGCAACAGATGGTGCACACAATGGGCTTTTCCCTGCAGGGACACAGAGGGCCAGGGTCCGCTTCAGCGGAGGGAGGGACAGTTGCTGCCCTGTAGCCCAGAACCATACACCTGTCTTGGGATAGATGTGTCCCCCTACCCGTGTCCCTGGAGCTGAAGAATTGGGATGGAGTTGTTAATCTGCAGCCTGAATAGGTCTGAATTTACCCCAGGCCACTGGCTGGCCTAATACTTCAGTGCTGTCCCTTCACAGTACACTGTCCCAGATACTTTTCACCTGCTTTCATTTTACTGGACATAAAGGATGACTTTTATCTTGGGGGTTTTATTATTGTCCACAGCTTCTAAAATTACTGTATATGTCTTAAGGTTATAGCATAACAGAATACACTTAAATATGTGCGGCATTTATCCAACAACACTTGAGATGTTTTGACTGCTTTCTATCTCTTTTTTTATTCTGCTCCCAACCTTTGCAATGACAAAAATGAAAGGTGACTCACATTTAATAAATGGTTGTCCCAATTGTGGCAAACTCCAGCTGATGAACTGGGGCAGACGCAAGGCTTCAGGAGCATCAGGCAGCGGTTGCTAACCTGGGGAAGCAGCTGATGAGGGCATTTGTCATTTTTAATGGTGTGGTGAGGAGTGGCACTACGATGTGGCATGGCACAGCGCAGCACGGGCTCTGGTACTGGCTGGTTTTTCAGTCTTTCGTAGCCACCTGGCCTTATTTTTCACCCGGCCAGTCATCATCACCTATGACTCCACAGGTCATCTCCAAGTACAGGAGAAATCTGTCCCTGTTTGCCGTGCACACCCTGGGGATGAGGAAGGAAGGAAGAGTAGGGGAGGGAGGAACAATAGAGCGGCTGCTGTAGCACATCCTCCCTTACATTACACTCACGGCCAAACAAGCACATAGAATAACACGGATGCGCGTGCACCCGCTCTCCCACACAGCACTCTGATAATGATCCACGCAAAGCCGAACAAGTACTTGCCTACTTCAGCTTGAGAGCCCCGGCCCAATACCAATAGTGAGCCCGAACGCATTGTAGAGAGCCTCTCATTCTCTCGGTGGCCTGATTTTTTTTCAGCATGGTTAAGCCTACAATTGCACCATCCCTGTTCTATTTTCATTTCTCTGTTCCAACACCAGAATCATATCAAATCAAAAGGTACCTGCACCAACAGGGGTATTCTCGGAGTTGTCTGCGATTAAATCTTTTTTGTGCACTACACTCTGCGGGTTGACCCTAAATTTATTGAGTTTTTGATCTGTCAACATTCAGCCAGCGTCTTCCACTCTAAGCCCAATGTGTTTATTCCCATTCGGTTCCCAGAAAGAAAAAAACAACAACACCAACAACAAAAGTGGTGTTTAGTTAGTTCTGTACAGTGACAACGACATTAAAAAGAACAAAAGGAACCAGGAATACACAAGAAAGACTTTTTAGGATGAAAAAATAAATAAGTGGGGACAGCAGTGTTTGCTCAAACTTACTCATTATTTAGATTTGTAGTAGCAGGTATAGCAGGTGACAAGCAGACAGAAAAGATAATGGTCCAGAACAAGAAAGGCAGGAAAGAGAGATGTTTCCCAGACACAATAGAAGCTGGGAAGGTTTGTCCGGTGATGAATATGAATGCCTGAAAATGAAATGCCTAAGTCAATATAGAGACAGCGCAGGGACTCAGGTGACAGAGGAGTGCAGTGCTACACCCACCCTGAGGGTATAGACTGGTTATTAGGCCAGACTTTAGCTTCATCCATCTTCAGGGGACTGTGTGCTGGCCATTGACAATATGAGTACAGCGCTGGTGCTGAATACAGATGTGCTTTGGACCAGTGTTCTCCAAATACAGGGTCAGGACCCACTGCGAGTCCCAGGCACAGTTGTACTTTCTGGGTCACAGCTCAAGAGAGGAGATGGAAAATCAGCTCATTGTAGGGAATATATGATGGCGGCTAGTTTTGCCTAAAGATGTATTTTTTTAAAGGCTGCCCTGCCAAACTTCAGTCTCTTTGGAAATGTACTGAAAAATACAAACAAACAGTTTTTCCCTGAGGTAATTGCAGATAGAACTGTAAAAACTATAATATACTTATAAGTAAAATAAATAAATAAATTCTTCTATTTTTTCCTGAGTGGAACGACTCTCTGGCAGTAGGTCAGACAAGGACACGGGACTGTATCTAAATACAGCCCTCTCATTAATCTGCCCATGATGCCAAATCTGATGGTACCTGTCCCCTGCTATCAGCACACAGTCTTTTCAGAGATATTCATTACACTTTGCTGACGAAGAGCACAGACACACAGACAGGCTGCAGAAGTGGAAACAACCAAACAAACCAATGCAAATGGACACGACAATACCAGTGTGCACATGCAAGATAGACATAATAAATATTTAGACTATCATGTGAGATTGTGAAAGAGATACAAGAGATCCGTTTCTCCTCCTTGGAGAGGCTGCAAAGACGGTGTTGCTGTAGATTGACTCATAAGTCATTAGCTCACATCAGTTCTATTCAAGATTCAAGCACGTTGTTACCATTAATCCAAATAACACAATGAGGAGATTGTACTCAGCATTAAATGAGTAAGAGCATCATCACATTTTTCAAGTGTGTGTGTGTGTGTGTTTATACAAGATTCAGTGAGTCAATGTTAAAGAGGATGTGTTAATGAGAGTTTTACCTGTTATGCTTTATACATTCAGAGAGAACAGATTTTTAAAATTAAAGCATAGAAATAAATAAATACATAAATTCATAAATTAAAACCGAGATTCGTCTTTTTACAAGTAGTGATTCGATTACAAGTTTCACCTGCTCTTTCACTTTTGGTGGAAGTCCAAGAGACATGTGCAAGCCACAGATTAGCAAACCAAATTTTGGGGTTGAAAATGTCATCTTTTTTTTGGAGTACGGTGTCAATAGTTTTGCCCTTAATTCTATTTTTTTTTAAATTGCTGCATAAAACAGACAAAAGAAACTCCATATGTATGCACACTTAAATCTGCACATGTGGAGTGGCTGATTGCAACACACCAAACCACACACACATGCAAGCGCGTGCGCACACACACACATGTAAGCACAGAAGCACAAAAAAAAAAACCCCCATGTGAAATCCAGTACCATCCAAAATCATGTACGTGCTTGATAATGATTCGCTGATTAATTGTTTTTTTCTTGATGGCCTTGGTGATTAGGATGCATTCATTTGCTTGTGATTAGGGGTCTCTAATCACAGATAAGGTTAATGGGGTTCTTCATTCACTCCCCTACTTTGTTTCTCTTGGAGCATTTAAGAAGCTTTCCTATTAACCGTATGGCCTCAGCCCCCTTCTGTTGTAATACACCTTTCAATTTATGCACCAACCTTTCCCACTGCCGTCAAAAGAGGCGCCTTGACAACAACAACATTTGACACATGGTAGATTGTGTTTTGTATCGCTGAACATGTTATCATGGGGCACTCAGCCAGAGAGGATCATAAAGTAGTTTTCTGGCTACAAATGCCGCATTTAGGAAAAGGACTTCTTAATGAGGAAAAACAAAACTAGACTGACAGCTCATCGCTTCATGTCAGCGCCCAGTGACAGGCTATCCCACTTGTTTTTGTCGAACCGTTTCTCTCAATAGGACACTATCAAAATGCAGCCCTCTGTCTCCTCTGACCTGTCCTTTTCTCCCTTCCCTGGCCTGTGACAGATAGTTGAGTACAATCTATCAACCTCAGTCTGCCTTGGTCAGGGCCAGTGCTTTGTAAGGCTAGGCATAAAGAACAGACATACACACACCACACACACACACACACACACACACATATATACACATTCCTGAGTCTGTCACACTAAATGGGATAAACATCCAGTGTTGGAGAGAGACAGAAAAACAGAGGTCAAATCAATCTGCCCTCCGTCTGCCATACACTGATCCCTGTCATAGGCTGACCTCTCCAACAAATGAAACTCCAGTGATGCATTTGAATACCAAGACAGCAGCACTTCAGTCTGGCTTTAACACGGACGATGGGAGTGAATGAACTCATTGCTGGTGGGTCTTGTTTAGTCAGATGATCATTTACTACTTCTTAAGTGTTGCCCCCTCAGTATGCTGGAACAGGTAATATGACACGGGTTATTATTCAGTTTAATAATTATATGCTCCATTAAAACAACAAACACTTTGATACAAAAAGCTCATTATATAATAAACTTCCTTATTATTGTAAAACCAACAACAACAACTTCAACGACAAAAAAAGAGAATTTACTTTAAATACGTGGTTTATACTCAGATAACAGCATTTTTTGAAATTTTCTCACTTTCTTTTGTTCGTCTCGGCCCTAAAGACTGAATGTGTTGTCCTCTTGTGCTACAAATAGGAGCGGTGAGGAGAACTACTCCGGCAGCAGTACTTTAGTTGCCTGTTTTGATCTCTGTCTCTTGAAAGA